CATAAAATTTAATCAAATAATTTTATTTATAAATAAATAATAATTAAAAAACTTTTTAATTTCAGTAAAAATATTCAAAAATTATTAAGTATAAAAAACTTTAATTATTATATATTTATTATATAAAAATATTCAATTAAATTTTATATAAAAAGTTAAACTATAGCAATTAAATCTAATTAGACCTAATACATTATACATCCACAGTCCAAACATTAAAAAAGAAGAAGAAGAAGAAGAAGAAGAAGAAGCTAAACCGCGTTTGTGAATAATTCTGACTCAACAAATGGATTATGATCTTCGCTCTCTTGTTTCCCAATAAATGGGGCAAGTTAGGTAGTAGTTTAGCTGCAGTAGTGGTTGTGAGATCCAATTAATGACACTACAAAGGGAATGTGCCTCAAAGAATACATTCAGTTTGTGTATCATGCTACTCTAAAAATTGTCAGCAAAACTGTCTAAAAACATGAAAATTCACATGTCGAAAGTAGCTTTTGGATACTTTCTAAAGGGCTATAATTCACAAAAACTTTTTAATTTTAAATTTTTTTTAAAGAGCAATGATTTGCATGATGAAATTTTAGGACAAAATGTTAAGATGAAAAAAATTATTACCATTAGTTAAGTTGGCCGATCACATGGTATAGTCACAAAAAAGTCGTCTCACTTTCTCATCCGACAATTTCGTCCCTAATATTATCTTTCTTTTTCAAAAAAGGCTAGTTCGTCCACTATATTATTTTCCTTTACTTTATCTTCCAGGTTTGAGGAATGCCTGTAGAATGTCTCAGAATATTCAACTTTTCACGATGGAAGAAATCCAAGTTCGTTTGCTTTTTTGTACGTGTGTCAGTGTTCGGTGGCTCTCCACAAGTTGTACTCATGATTTTTAATTTTACTTCTACATAAATTGCATTTGATTTGATTAATTTTATTATTTTTTATTTTTTTTACCCAAATAACTAGTTAAGTTGTTAGAAAACATTAATTTATGTATTAATTTCAAATTAACATCAATTATTTTATTAATAATTGATAATTACAACTATTAATTTCACAATCAAACTAAATAAATCAATGCATTTGGATTTCACAACGTAACAATTATAAACTAACTCGTAAGGTATATTTCTCGATCTTACTCCTAACTTGTAACTCGAAAAATATATATATATATAAATTTGTATTCACTCTTCTTCTTCTTTTTTCTTTTTTTCAATTCTCAATTAACAATTGAGGTCATTTTGATGAGATAGAACACCTAATTGAAGGAAATAAAAATCTTTAGAAGTAAAGAGTAATAAAGATACATTCGATGCAAATAAACAACAATTATCGAAAAAAGGTATAGGATATTCCTCTGAAAGTCGGTCCAAATTTAGAAACTGTTAGGCTCACAATATTTTAAGTACAGTCTTTTTGTGTAATGTGCTTAATATGATGCCATGCTATTGTACTTGCAGAATCGTCCTCCAAATTATACTTTTATTCAAAATTGTAGTAGTAATTTTGAGCATCCAATATTCCTCCGAATATTGTTCCTGTAAACTTTTTTTTTTTTAATGGTTTGCAATAGAAGTAGGTTATTTGAATCTCAACCTTAAAACTTGAGAATTCACCTTATAATTGATCATAAAACCATCAAGTCACGAGATCTTGGTGTCTATTTTTGTAAACTTTTATTTTAAAAAAATATTAAAATTGAAATATTTTAATATTTAAAAATATCAAAATTACGTTTATAATTTTTAAAATAAAAATTATTTGCAGTTAAAATTGTACGGCGCCGCTAATTTTAACCCGCATTATTTTACGTCTTGGAATTAATTAACTTTGCTTATAAGGCAAGCACACAGCAGCAGCATTCCAGTTCCACTGCGGCTGCTATTAGTTATTACTGACTCCATAGCCATCCCCACATGTGCCGAGAACATGGCGCTAAACGATTTTTTTGCCGGAGAAATAGCAACAGAACTCATCAAAACGCTGATAACAATCACCCGCAAATCTTGTCTCTGCAAATCCAGTGCGGAGAACCTCATTTCGACTATCGATGAACTCCTGCCCATTATCCAAGAGATCAAGTACTCCGGAGTCGAACTTCCTGCAATTCGACAGTCGCAGCTCGACCGCCTCTCCGAGACGCTGCGGGATGGCCTCGATTTGTGTAATAAGGTCCTCTCCTCTGCTCGCTGGAACGTTTATAAGAATCTCCAGCTTGCCAGAAAGATGGAGAAATTGGAGAAGAAGGTTGCGAGATTTCTCAAAGGTCCCATGCAGGCGCACGTGCTTGCTGATGTTCATCACATAAGGTTCGAGACGACCGAGAGATTCGATCGGCTGGAGGGATCGGCGAGGCGGCTGGAGCAGAGACTGGGGTCAATGAAGATTGGAGGTGGAGGATGGATGGGGGAAGCGGTCAAAAGAGTGGGGGTGGCGGAGGAGAGAAATTTGGGGAATCTGTACGGGGCGGGATTGGATTTAGGGAAGAAGAAGGTGAAGGAAATGGTGATTGGAACAGAGGATTGCTGTGTTTTTGGTATCTGCGGGATTGGTGGTTCTGGGAAAACTACCTTGGCGAGTGAGGTCTGTAGGGATCTTGAAGTTCAAAGTGAGTTTTCAATTTTGCTTCTTTCCAAACATTTTTGAGGATAATTTGCTTTGATTTTCATTTGCTGAACAATTTTTCTCTGATTAATTTAATGAATAATATGAATGCTCTGTTCAAAGTCTAGTAAAAGATATGGATTTTCTGATGCAAAGGAATCTATAATTTGTGGAGTTATATACAAAAACTATGGAGTAACTCTGTGTTCTAATGTTCAGGTTACTTCAAGGACAGAATTTTGTTTCTGACAGTTGCACAGTCTCCAAATGTAGAGCTGTTGAGGGCAAAGATTTTCGGATTTATATGTGGCAATGAAGCCATGGATTCTGGTAGCTTTTTAGTTCCACAATGGAATAGCCAAGTTGAATGGAGAAATGGACCGAGAACTTTGGTGGTCCTAGATGATGTGTGGTCGCAAGGGGTGCTTGAGCAGTTGATTTTTAGGATACCTGGATGCAAAACAATTGTGGTTTCAAGATTTAAATTCTCTAACGTTCTTGACGCAACTTATGAGGTAGAGTTGTTGAGGGAAGATGAAGCAAAGGCCCTCTTCTGCTGTACTGCTTTTGGGGAAGAAACGATTCCTCCTGCTGCAAATGAAGCTTTGGTCAAGCAGGTGTGATGGTCTCTCTCGGTCTCCCTTTTGTTGAACACTTGCTCTTTTTTTTCCCTTTTTGTTTAACCGAGGCTAACGAAATTGTGTTTGACAGATTGTTGATGAGTGTAAGGGCCTTCCCTTGGCTCTTAAAGTGATTGGAGCTTCATTAAGAGACCAACCTGAAATGTATTGGGTCAGTGCAAAGAAAAGGTTATCTCGAGGAGAACGAATCTGTGAGTCCCATGAAAACAAGTTGCTTGAACGGATGGCAATTAGTGTGGAATACTTGCCCAGAAAGGTTAAAGAATGTTTCCTGGATTTGGGATCTTTTCCAGAGGACAAGAAGATTCCCCTTGATATTCTTATAAACATGTGGGTAGAGATACATGACCTTGACGAGGAAGAAGCTTTTGCAGTTCTTGTTGAGCTCTCTGACAAGAACCTTCTCACTTTGGTGAAAGAGGCCCGGTATGTTCCTTAAGACACTTATATGTTGTTTCTAATTCTATAACCATGAAACTTGGATTGCTCTTAAATATGAGATTCAGTTTGTGTTCTAACCCATGTAATGTGCTATATATGGGCAGAGCGGGAGACATCTATAGCAGTTACTATGATATCTCTGTTACTCAACATGATGTGTTAAGAGATCTTGCTCTTCATTTGAGCAATAGAGGGAATATAAATGAGCAAAAGCGACTTATAATGCCTAGAGGAGATTCTGGAGTTCCAAGAGAGTGGGAGAGGAATTCAGATAAGCCATTCAATGCTCTGATTGTCTCAATGCATGCAGGTATAACCAATTTGCCATCACTTATTCTGGTTTGCTCTTCACTTTTGAATAATCTGAGGACCTATCAAATTGAGCTAATCATTTTTGTTGGAATCACACTTAACAGGGGATATGAAAGAAATGGACTGGCCCCGCATGGAATTTCCCAAGGCTGAAGTGCTCATCTTGAATTTTTCCTCTAATGAATACTTTTTGCCTCCCTTCATGAGTGAAATGCCCAAGCTTAGGGCACTCATTCTGATAAACTATGGCACTTCCAATGCCACCCTTCTGAACTTCCCAGTCTTAACCAATTTGGCAAACTTGAGGAGTCTATGGCTTGAAAAAGTTTGTGTCCCTCAGTTATCCATCACTACTCCCTTGAGCAACTTGCGGAAAATATCTCTAGTTCTCTGCAAGATTGGTAACAGCCTTGAGCCATCTGTGGTAGACCTGCCCTCAATCTTCCCTTGTCTCTCAGAGCTTGCAATTGATCATTGTGATGATTTAGTAGAACTGCCTACAAGCATTTGCAGGATGAACAAACTCAAGAGTCTAAGCATCACCAACTGCCACAATCTGCATAAATTGCCTGCAGATTTAGGTAAATTGAAGTGTCTACAAATACTCAGGCTATATGCATGTCCAACTCTGAAAACACTTCCTCCCACCATTTGTGAGCTAGCCTGGTTGAAATACCTCGACATTTCACAATGTGTTAACTTGATTTCTCTACCAGATGAAATCAGTAGATTAGTGAGTCTGGAGAAGATTGACATGAGGGAGTGCTTGCAGATTTGGGATCTTCCACAATCAGTTTCATCATTGCGTTCACTACGGCACGTGATTTGTGATGAAGATGAAATTTTCTGGTTATGGAAGGACATTGAGAAGACACTACCAGAACTTCATGTTCTGGTTGCAGATAAATGCTACAACTTGGACTGGCTTAATGAACATTGACAATGTATCCATGTCTATATAAATTTTGGTACTGTAAATATCTTAGTATAAATTCTGTACATAAATTTCAGATTGGTAATGGTATTAAATGAGGCATCCTGCTTTCTGGTTCATATCAGTGCTTGATGAATTAAATTTTTGCCTCAAATCTTATGCACACAACTCATGAAATTAATAAAACAAACCAAAGGGAGTTAGTTATAACCTTTTAAATTCTATTGGGAAAATAAAACAATTCTAAAAAACCATAGGGGTTAAAGAGCGATTTACCCAAGAACTAGTAGAGCTGGAAAGGTTATTTTCTTTTGTAGTTAAATACTGTTCTTTAAGAAAGTGGGTGATGCAATTTTTTTTCTTTTTCTAATCGTGGGTGATACTATTTTTAGTCGAGTCAAGTCAATATTGGAATTGAAGAAAATAAAAATTAGGAAATGAGTAGTGGATGGGGTCTCAAATTGCCATCACCATACACCATAGAGATAGAGATCAGGTCATCATGGAAGGGCGGCTGGGAAACATTGAGTGAATTGAGTGGACAGATTCGTGACTCAATTTTGTACCTGAATGAATAAAATCCAAATTTTAGGTGTGCAAACAGATAATACCATAGATCTAAGCAAATTCTTAAATTGCCTTAGTTAGAAAACATTTAAAAATTTTTAGTAAATATTTTTATTTTTGTTTAAAATATTCACAAAAAAGAGGAGGCGCTTTAGTCAAAACAAATACAACTCACTTAATTTTTTCTTTATTTTTCTCTCATCCCACATTTCACAATTTTTCAATAAAAAAGAAGATAAAATTGATAATACTTGTAGAAGCATTCAACACGTGATCCACATCGACCTCCACTCTCCGAACATCTTCACTTTTTTATGATGCCTCTTTCAATTAGAACTTATAGTTTTCCTAGTTCTAAACACTCAAATCTAAACAGATCGTGGACCCATTTTAAAAAGGGGGGAAAGTAGTGGAGAGATGGTGCCACAGTCGTAAAGTAAGTGGCTCCTAAGTTTTAAGGGTTGAATTTCAGGAATTCGGGAAGAGGGAAAAGAGAAATAGGGACCTGGGTTAGAACCCAAGTCTTGAGTGTCCTGGCACGTTACCTCCGAGGAGTGGTCAGTAGGCCACTTAGTACCGGATGAATTGATAGACAAGTTAATTGGAATTTGGAAACACTGAAGAATACGATGAGCCGGACGTGAGTTGTGTTTTTTTTTTTTTTTAATAAATTCATAGTAGATAAAATTTGAATCGTTACCTTAAAAAAAAAATACATTTATATATGACTTGAGTTGTGTTATTAGCTTGAGGATCAAATAGTCTTTTATTTTTATATATTTAATAATACTAGATTATATATATATAAAGATAATTTTCTTTTCTTGAATCTTCTCTTATTTGATTTAATTTTTAAAGTTTTAATTTTAAATTTTAAATATTAAATTTTTTATAACAACTTAAATAATTCAATAGTAATTTTTTTCGTTAGAAGTAAAAAATCTTGAGTTTGAATTATATGACATGCGGGTAGGATGTGATAAAGGATGTGAGAGAATTATTTCTCATTATACAATCAACATAAAAAAATTTTAAATTTTTAATCATTAAATCATTGAATTATCTCTTTAGAGTAGAAGAATTAATTTATAAGTAAAGTACACATACCTCATTGTAAGACAAATTATTACTTAAGAAAAGAAAAAATTAAAATGTTTTGATATTAAAAATGTCAAAATATTTAATTATAATAATTAAATATAATATATAATTATAAATCTTAATTTTATCAAATGCATCGTATAATTATTATTAAATATAAAAATTATCAAGAGGTCTTATTTTTTAAAAATTATTTAAATAAAAAAGTTTGGTGTTTTATAAAATGATTAGAATCTA